AAAAATTTTTCCTATATATTCCTATGTAAAACTTGGGTCGGCCATTTTGGCCCCACCCTTGCCCCGGGGGTCATGATTTGAACAAACTTGAATCTACACTACCTGAGGATGATTCCACATGAGTTTCATCTTTCCTGGCCCAGTGGTTCTGGAGAAGAAGATTTTTAAAGATTTTTCCTATGTAAAACTTGGGTCGGCCATTTTGGCCCCACCCTTGCCCCGGGGGTCATGATTTGAACAAACTTGAATCTACACTACCTGAGGATGATTCCACATGAGTTTCATCTTTCCTGGCCCAGTGGTTCTGGAGAAGAAGGTTTTTTAAAAATGCCATTTACTTTTAACAAATTCATGATTATCTCCCCTTGGAAAAGGGTGTGGCCCTTCACTTGAACAAACTTGAATCCCCTTCACCCATGGATACTCTGTGCCAAGTTTGGTTGAAATCTGCCCCGTAGTTCTTGAGAAGAAGATGAAAATGTGAACAGTTTACGACGACAGACAACGGACAAATTTTGGTTAGAAAAGCTCACTTGAGCCTTCGGCTCAGGTGAGCTAAAAACTACACCAAAAATGTTAACCTGCTCCAAAAACATTAACCTGGTCATTCCTTTGCTGAAATTGCAGCATCTGAAACTTTGACTGGTGCAATGAAACACACTAGAAGCATCTTCCATGCATGTCTAATCAATATAGGACATAAAAGTACTTAAAAGGAAAACTGTTCCAAACAAGAGGCCCATGGGCCACATCGCTCACCTGAGCACTAAGGGTAGGAAAAAGTAGAAAATGGTTTTTTATTGTAAAGTTTAAATCCAAAAGTAGTCCCATGACCAATCATGTATTTGCTATTTTTTAGAAAATGATTTTTAAAGAATTTTCCTATATATATCTTTGAAAACTTTGGTCGGCCATTTTGGCCCCGCCTTACCTCAGGGGCTCATGATTTGAACAAATTTGAATCTACACTACCTGAGCATGCTTCCATATATATATGATGAATTATGGCTTTGTCATTCTTGAGAAGAAGATTTTTAAAGAATTTTTCTATATATTTCTATGTAAAACTTTGATTCTCTGTTGCGGCCCCGTCCTACCCCCGGGGTCATGATTTTAACAAATTAGAATCTACACTACCTGAGCATGCTTCCATATATATATGATGAATTATGGCTTTGTCATTCTTGAGAAGAAGATTTTTAAAGAATTTTTCTATATATTTCCATGTAAAACTTTGGTCGGCCATTTTCGCCCCGCCCTACCCCCGTGGGTTATGATTTGAACAAACTTGAATCTACACTGCCTGAGCATGCTTCCATATAAATATGATGAATTACGGCTTTGTCATTCTTGAGAAGAAGATTTTTAAAGAAATTTCCTATATATTTCTATGTAAAACATTGGTCAGCCATTTTGGCCCCGCCCTACCCCCGGGGGTCATGATTTGAACAAACTTGAATCTACACTACCTGAGCATGCTTCCATATAAATATGATGAATTATGGCTTTGTCATTCTTGAGAAGAAGATTTTAAAAAAATTTTCCTATATATTTCTATGTAAAACTTTGGTTGGCCATTTTGGCCCCGCCCTACCTCCAGGGGTCATGATTTGAACAAACTTGAATCTACACTACCTGAGGATGTTTCTCCATAAGTTTCATCTTTCCTGGCACAGTGGTTCTTGAGAAGAAGATTTTTAAAATATGCCACCAAATTTTCATTAATTCCCAATTATCTCCCCTTGAATGAGGGCGTGGCCCTTCATTTGAACAAACTTGAATCCCCTTCACCCAAGGATACTTTGTGGCAAGTTTGGTTGAAATTGGCCCAGCGGTTCTTGAGAAGAAGTCGAAAATGTGAAAAGTTTACAGACAGACAGACGGACAGACAGACAGACAGACGGACGCCGGACAAAATGTGATCAGAAAAGCTCACTTGAGCTTTCAGCTCAGGTGAGCTAAAAACTTAACCTGGGACGCCGACACCGATGCCGACGCCGAGGGTATTACATAAGCTCCCCCAACTTTGTTGAGGTGAGCTAATAAAAATTCGACATGCACTAATTAATAAACAAGCACCAGTAAAGATCTATTACAAATTATCAAATTATTACATCTATATAACATGCATGGAAGAAATGTGAAAAATGAGAAGCCTAAAATTATTGAATGGTTAATCACTGTCTGAAATTATGAGAAGAAATGTTGCTGTAATGTTTTCTGGGTCACTGGATCACTTCAGCACTCCCTGAAACACAAATGTCCAGGCCCACTGACATGGCAGCTCCTTGGTGGGGATTTGGGGGATCTCTAACAGAACCCCCTGTGGGTGTAGGGTGGTAAAGTTCACTGGCTTGTCTTCATGGCCCACTAAATATACAGTGGTCCATTCCGCTGTTTTAGGAACTCCGAGGTGAATCGTTTTATTGGCAGGCCAGTCTAGAAATACTGCGTACAACATTTGCTCCATGCTTATTTTTACAGCTGTATACCTGTTTGAGGAAAAACATCTCCCATCATCAGCTTAAAATGGGAAAGATATTTTTATTCAGAATCTGGATCAAAATCTGTTAGAAATATTAATAAATTGTTGGGAATTTTTTGTCCTTAAATCATGAACTTAAAAATTTGAGATTGTTAATGTTCTCTAAAATCCAGTATAAAATTTTAAGTAAAATGTGTGTTTTACACTTCATATTCGACAGCATATGTTTTTTTAAAAAGCAGAAAATACACTAGAACAAGTAAAAAAAAACTAAATCACACAAAGCAAAGCACACTTGTTAACAACATGCAACCTTGGATGCAGTAATGTTAAAAATTATCTAACCTAATGAATATTCAGAAAGTCCTATGAAGCTATGCTATAACCCTGCAATAACCAATCATACTGTACCAGACATTGGGAGTAATGGTATCATTCTGGTACGTCCAAGGATAAGTTCCATAAATAGCCTCAGAGTTGACCTTCAGCCATTGTCCCATTTCTCTCAGCCTCTCCTCAAACACCGGTATAATCTTACCGTCACTGGTGGGACCCACGTTAACCAGAATGTTTCCCCCGCAGCTGAAAAGGAGAGCAGACTGGTTACTTAAACAATAAAATGCTTTTTTTGTTTGTTATTACTGGAATTAATGGAGGCAGCTGTTGCAGAAAAAATACATAACCCGCGTAAGCGTGTTATGTAAATTTTTTCTGCAATAGCTGTGACCGTTAATTCCAGTAATAACAAACAAAGAAAGACATTTTATTGTTTATATTTATATCTGTTTAAATAATCATTTAAAGAAGGATTGAAAAGTTTAATTATTGTAATAATTATGCGAACGTCTTTATACGTTTCATTGATGGAACAGCCATTGATCTAGAAATCTGTACAGGCGATATGCCTAATGTAGTTCATGCAGTGATTAACGCAATGGGTTTTCTTTAAGAAATAAAGGAGAAAATATTCAGTGGATGTCAATATTAGCTGGTTAACATGGTATAGGAGACATCAGTAAGAGGGGGCCATTTTGTTGTAAAGGGGCATTAGCATGAAAGGGACTTTTACTTGAATAGGAATAATTTTACTGGCAAAATGTTTGTCTTTGTGTTCAATATCTTAAAGCAATATGAGCTGCATGTTTGACATCGGAAAAAAATGTTGCAAATTTGTAATTAACTATTTCAATGACAGAAAAATAGAACATTTATAAACTTCTGTTGCTCATATTTGCTATTAAAGAACTTTTTATACACGATGATTTAAGCAAAATTGAATTATTGTCGTCGTGTACAATAATGATTTCTTATATAAAACTGTATATTCGGTTGTACAGAAATGTTTCTTCTGAAACATTTTTAAACTTTTTTTTGGTTTCATTGATCATAAGGGTTTAGATTACATACAGATTAATCATAATGACACATTTTACCCACAAAATAAAATTCTCAAAAATGCAGCTCATATCTGATTTGACCTTCACCTCTGACTTAAAGACTCAAGGTGATTTATTTATATACCTGACTGTTTCCACCAGTGTTCCAATGAGCTCATCCGTGGTCAGAAATTCTGACAGCTTTGTGTTTCTACGGTAACCCCAAGATTGCTTATCAATTGTCATGGCATTTTCCCATTTTCTCTTTTGCAACTTTCCTGTTTATGTAAAAAAAACGTTTTTAAATAACAAGAAACCTTAAATAACTTCAGATATTTTTTCTTAAAAAAGATTTGATGTTAGGACAACAATGTACATATCTAAAATAATCTCCACTATTACATAATTTAATCTAACATGTCTTACCTGGGTTATACCTGTCTGAGCAGGTGAGGAATCCTCCATGTTTGCACATGACCCCTTGACCCCATCGATCATTGGTCACGACATTTTCTCTCACAGGACTGCAATAAAAAAAGAAAATCTATATTAGAATACACATACAGAATCAAATACATGCATGTATCATAAGTTCATTGCATTTTCTCAGTAAAAAAATATTTTTTCTTTAATTTTGACTGTGTATCTGAACCAGAAGTCTCTGTCGAGACTGTAGCTCTACTGGTTAATACTTAAAACAAAGGAAGAGAAAAGTAGCAGTTGGGACTTGAGACTTTAAAACAGCAATAAGTAAAAAAAATGATCCTTGCCACTCATCAAAATAAAAACCTACGCACAGAATTATGTATCTTAGTATAGTCTACTTGTGTGCCAAGTTATATTGAAACTGGACCAAAAGTGTAGGAGGAGTAGCATTTTGAAAGAATTTCACAGAAATTTCTATTTTTAGTAACCTTGACAACACCGTTCATTGAAAGCAAAAACCGATGCACAGAATTATGTATCTTAGTGTAGTCTACTTGTGTGCCAAGTTATATTAAAATCAGACCAAAATTGTAGGAGGAGTAGCATTTTGAATGACTTTCACAGAAATTTCTATTTTTAGTAACCACGGCAACACTGTTCATCAAAATCAAAAACCGATACATAGAATTATGTATCTTAGTGTAGTCTACTTGTGTGCCAAGTTATATTGAAATCGAACCAAAACTGTAGGAGGAGTAGCATTTTGAAAGAATTTTACAGAAATTTCTATTTTTAGTAACCATGGCAACACCATTCATCGAAATCAAAAACCGATGCACAGAATTATGTATCTTAGTGTAGTCTACTTGTGTGCCAAGTTATATGGAAATCGGACCAAAACTGTAGGAGGAGTAGCATTTTGAAAAATTGTTTACAGACAGGCAGACAGACGGACGGACGGACGCATTACTATCGCATAAGCTCTTCTGGTCTCTGACCAGTAGAGCTAAAAATGAATCTATTAATTTAATATAAACTTTACTTGTGAAAAAGTTTACCAACACAATCTTTCCGCTTATGTACAAAATACTGAACTCTCAATTAACAGTCATTAAGACTTGTTTGGACACAATTCTGATCTCAACTGATTTATTCTGGCCTATCATTGTACAGCCAGGCTATGAAGTTTGTGGATATTCCGACCTATCATTGTACAGCCAGGCTATGAAGTTTGTGGATATTCTGACCTATCATTGTACAGCCAGGCTATGAAGTTTGTGGATATTCTGACCTATCATTGTACAGCCAGGCTATGAAGTTTGTGGATATTCTGACCTATCATTGTACAGCCAGGCTATGAAGTTTGTGGATATTCTGACCTATCATTGTACAGCCAGGCTATGAAGTGTGTGGATATTCTGACCTATCACTGTACAGCCAGGCTATGAAGTGTGTGGATATTCTGACCTATCACTGTACAGCCAGGCTATGAAGTGTGTGGATATTCTGACCTATCACTGTACAGCCAGGCTATGAAGTTTGTGGATAATCTAACCTATCATTGTACAGCCAGGCTAAAAAGTTTGTGCGGATACTCTGACCTATCATTATACAGCCAGGCTATAAAGTTTGTGTGGATATTCTGACCTATCATTGTACAGCCAGGCTATGAAGTTTGTGGATATTCTGACCTATCATTGTACAGCCAGGCTTATAAAGTTTGTGGATATTCTAACCTATCATTGTACAACCATGCTAATAAAGTTTGTGGATATTCTAACCTATCATTGTGCAACCATGCTAATAAAGTTTGTGGATATTCTGACCTATCATTGTATAACCATGCTATGAAGTGTGTGGATATTCTGACCTATCATTGTACAGACAGGCTATAAAGTTTGTGGATATTCTAACCTATCATTGTACAGCCAGACTATGAAGTGTCTGGATATTCTGACCTATCGTTGTACAGCCATGCTATAAAGTTTGTGGATATTCTGACCTATCGTTGTACAGCCAGGCTATAAAGTTTGTGGATATTCTGACCTATCGTTGTACAGCCAGGCTATGAAGTTTGTTTGGATATTCTGACCTATCATTGTACAGCCAGGCTATGAAGAGTGTGGATATTCTAACCTATCGTTGTACAGCCAGGCTATGAAGTTTGTAGAATTCAAGTAAGTATCTGGTGCTTCCCAGTCTCCGTCGGACCAGATCACGTCCGGTTTGTACCGGTTCACAATCTCGTACAGCTCCGGCATTGTTTTACTCTAAATATATAAAAATGGTTGTTAAAAAACAGATTGAAACCTGCTGCATGAAACTTGAAAAAACTAAACTTCCATTTTACCAATTATCCTTACAAATACTGGTGTTTGAGATGGTAACTACATGTAATACTAGTGTAGAGAAGAATACTGTATTACATATTACATATTACATTCGGCGGTGTATTTTTTTAGCGCTTTTGGCGGAAAGGTACTTCCGCTAATATAAGTACATCGCTAAATGTCTTAAACATTGATAAATGAATAAGAACATGAAGAAATGCGCTAAATCAAATCTACGTTAACTTGATGAAAAATCACTTTCCGCTAAATATAATACATTTAAAGTATACTAAAAACCAATTTTTATTCATGTGTGAGAAATATCCATGAGCTTTTCGACCTGCTTTCCTCACAAATATCAATATCCACAAAAAATTTATTTTGCTTTGTATTTATAGAGAATGTTTCCTCAGTCACAAAAACTAATTTTTGCGAATTGATTTCAAACCGATGAATTGCAAAAAAAAGATGACATGAATACTGAAAAGATTCTTTTTTCCATGGGTTCATAATTCTGTGTTATATCTATTTCTGTTTAATTTGCAAGTAGAAAATTATGCACATTTCTTAGACTTTCACTATATGCCATTTACGTATATTAAGTATGATGGGATGAAAATCCCCGGAAAGTTTGTGATCATGAACATAGTGTTAATTAATACATGTACCACAAGGAAATAAGTACTTCTACAGGAATAGTTTGTTTACAATAAACTTAAAGGACTTTTTCTTGCCTCCTACCTCCACAAACTTCTGAGTCTGCCATTTGTTGGCCTTGTCCTGTAGATACTGAGGATGAAACCATTCAAACAGGGAATGATAAAGGCCGAAAAACAGATCCGTTTGGTTTCTGATGGCTGTTGCAAGCTCTCCTGTAAATATATGTAAACGTGTATATTCTTTTTCACAAATGAAGTGTATGCTTCAGTTATCATTGTTATAAAAAGCACTCAATATTTCTCTAAAGGATTAATCAAACAAAACTTATTTCCAAAGCATGCTGAGTATTACTGATAATACAGGGTTTTTTTTATGAATAGGTAGTTCATATAAAGCTAATCACAAACATATTTACTCAAAATGTCATTTGCTTTTAAACCCTTTGAAATCATATTCAACTTTATGCTTTCATGTTACATTGTACTTTTAGTATTCTGATTAAAATGCAAATTACAATGTAATTTGCATTTTAATCAGAATACTAAAAGTACAATGTACAACATTTATTCTGCAAAAAAAAAATACAGTATTGTTGTGAGATGTGTATTGTTTCATTATGTATATAATTAGTAACATTAAGTTTCTTGAACGTTCCAGAGTGGTCAACATGTTCGGTCATTTTATCTAGAACATTCTTAAATTTTGTGTATGTCCAGATTGTTCCAGTAATATCATGTACTTACAACTTCTAGAATTTTCTAGATTTATAATACTGTATAAATACCCTGTCAATTCAATGCATATACAATAATAGTGACTTTTGTCGTATGAGCACAATTGAGATATAACTGGAATATATTTTCACTGGGACATTGTGTGCAGCAACGGACACTCTGATGTATGTATTTTTAGATTCTTGCTAAGTTTGTACTTTATGTTTCATATACTTATTATATTTTACTGTAAATAAATTATTGTTAAGTTTAAATTGTGTTATTGATCTTTGCTGGCATTTCGGGTAATTCTGACCCATAACAGAATTGGGGGCTCGTCCGGGATAAAGAATTTCTTGCACTTTTGCAGTTTATTGTCAGAATTTTGTTTATTGAACTGTTAAATTTGACTATAAGCCAGCAAAAATCAACATGGTATTTTCGGTCACAGACTTTCTTAGTTCACCAAGTGTTCAGGTTTTTGATACGTTAAAAAAGGATGACTTGATCGCATTAGGTCTGCATTTTGGGTTAGATGTTAAATCCTCTCAGAGAAAGCAAGACATTAGAGTTAAGGTTGCAAACAAACTAGTAGAAGAAAACATCTTTGAAAAATACGATCTTCCAGAATATACAGTTAAATCAGAGTTAGGCTCTTATAAGATGACAGAATATCAGTTTCAATTAGAGTTAGAGAAAATGCGATTTGAAAGAGAAGAGCGAGAAAGAGAAAGAGAAGAACGAGAGCGTGAACGGAAATTTGAATTAGACAAATTAGAAAGACAAGAGCACTTTGAGTTAGAGAAATTAAGATTACAGCAGAAACCAGAACCCTCATTTGTCAAGAATGAATTTGATGCAGCAAAAAATATCAGACTAGTTCCAAAATTTCAAGAAAAATCTGTAGACAAATATTTTCCCCAATTCGAAAAAGTCGCAGAGAATCTTAAATGGCCACAACATGTTTGGTCAACGATGTTACAAAGTGTACTGGTTGGCAAAGCAGCTGAGGTATACTCTGCACTAGGGGTAGCTGAAAGTTCAGACTATGAGAAGGTTAAAGCATCAATATTAAAAGCATATGAATTAGTACCTGAAGCGTATAGACAAAAGTTCAGAAAGTATAGAAAGTTTGATAATCAAACATTTGTTGAATTTTCACGAGAAAAAGAAGATTTATTCGATCATTGGTTTAGATCTAAGAAACTTGATAAAACTTTTGCTAATTTGCGCCAAGTCATCCTGGTAGAAGAGTTTAAGGAATGTGTTTCTCAAGAATTGAAAACACATTTAGAAGATAAGAATGTGAAAACTCTTGAAGAGGCAGCAGTTATATCTGATACTTATGCTCTGTCTCATAAAAAGAATTTTGTATCAAGATCTCAGACTAGCAGTAATTCTACTAATTCAGACACATATAAAAAGAGTGGTTCAGGGTCTCAGTCTTTCACAAGTTCCCAGTCTCCAGCCCAAGGTGGTTCTAAGTCCGGTCCAGGACGTTTTGAAGGATCTTCTGGAATAGGGTCGCTTCCTACTTGTAGTTATTGTAAGAAAAAAGGTCATCTGATCAGTGACTGCTTTAAACTTAAGAGAAAAAATGATTTTGACAAAACTCAACCACATGCTTGTGCGGCAGTTAGAGGTGATAGAGAAGCCTTAGTTTCCATTTGTTCTGACACTCCTGATGTCCAGGGTTCACAGTCCAGTTCTATTGATTCTATGGAGGATTATAAGCCCTTTATGTCTCAGGGATTTGTTTCACTCGGTGACTCTAGCGAAATAAAACCTGTCCAGATTTTGAGAGATACTGGTGCTGCACAGACGTTATTGTTAGAGGGCGTGCTTCCTTTGTCTGAGCAGACTTCTACTGGTGGGTCAGTTTTATTACAGGGTGTGGAGCTAGGCGTCATTGATGTTCCCCTGCATAGAATTAGTTTGAAGTCAGATTTAGTTACTGGACCTGTTATCGTAGGTGTTCGACCTACTCTTCCCGTTCCAGGCATTTCTTTGTTGCTAGGCAACGATTTAGCTGGTGGAAAAGTTGTACCAGATCCTATAGTTTGTGAGAAAATCACTCCAGATGTTATGTGCGATGATGAACATGATGACATTTATCCAGCCTGTGCTGTTACTAGAGCGATGGCCAGAAGACGAGAAATGGAGGCAGACCATACTCAAGCCTTTGACGAGACAGATTCCTCTGTTGATATTGATTTGAACGACACTTTCTTATCTGACCTTGATGGCACTCAAACAAGCATGGAACCACACAATATCAAGAAGCAAGAGAAGAAAGAACTTTTACCAAAATTTGGTGGTGAGGATGATGAGTTGCATCCACTAGTTAACCAAGGCAAGGACATCCTCAGCCGAGAACGTTTACTCTCTGAACAACATAAAGACCCAGATATCATTCAATTTAGTAAGAGGGCACTTCCACCAGAAGAGGCTATTAAAGTTGGAGAATGCTTCTATATGAAAGATGGCATCCTTATGCGAAAATGGCGACCACCTGACGATTCTCCAGATGAAGTGTGGCGTGTTGTTCACCAGATAGTGGTCCCAGCTGCTTATCGTCGAGATGTCATGAGTTTAGCTCACGATACACCTATGGCTGGTCATTTAGGTATCAATAAGACTTATAATAGGATTTTGAGTCATTTTTATTGGCCTAAGCTAAGAAAGGATGTTTCGAAGTTTTGCAAGTAATGCCATGTCTGTCAGATGGTAGGTAAACCAAATCAGAAGATACCATCTGCTCCTCTCCAACCCATTCCAGCTTTTGAAGAACCGTTTAGTCGAGTGTTGGTGGATTGTGTAGGACCTTTGCCTAGGACTAGGTCAGGAAACCAGTATTTACTTACCATTATGTGTACATCCACTCGATTTCCTGAAGCCATACCTCTTAGGAATATAAAGGCAAAGAGCATAGTTAAGGCCCTAACCAAGTTTTTCAGTTTTGTAGGAGCACCCAAGGCAATTCAGTCAGATCAAGGCTCAAATTTTATGTCGGGGTTGTTCCAGCAAGTCATGCATGAGTTGGGTATTAGGCAGTATCGATCAACTGCTTATCATCCTGAGTCCCAGGGAGCGCTAGAACGTTTTCATCAAACCCTAAAACAATGCTGAAGACCTATTGTTACCGATATGAAAAAGACTGGGATGAAGGGGTTCATCTTGTACTATTTGCTGCACGAGAAGCAGTCCAGGAGTCTCTTGGATTCAGTCCTTTTGAATTGGTGTTCGGTCATACAGTTAGAGGTCCTTTGAAATTGTTAAAGGAAAAGTGGCTGACTGAGACTAGTGATCTTAATCTTTTAGATTATGTGTCTGATTTCAAAGAAAAACTTTACAATGCTTGTAAATTAGCACAAGAAAATTTGAAGAGTTCTCAGATGAAAATGAAAATGTGGTATGACAAAGATGCCAGAAATAGGGTGTTTAAGCCAGGTGATAAGGTTCTTGTATTTTTACCTATTCCTGGTCATCCTTTACAGGCCAGATTTTATGGCCCTTATGAAATTGAAAGCAAGATCAGTGATGTAAACTATGTAGTTAAGACACCAGGTCGACGTAAAGAGAAACGGGTTTGTCACATTAACATGTTGAAAGAGTATTTTGAAAGGTGTGACCGAAATTCTGTAAAACCAGTTTCCACTTTAGCCAATGCTAAGACTGTTCAAAATTGTATTGAAAGTGATACAAATGTAGAAATGAATGAGAAAGATTGTAATCAGAGTGTCCGCTTGAAAAACTCAGAAATTTTGGCTGATTTTGATGCCAAACTTGGACATTTGAACATTCACCAAAAAGAACAAGTTAAAAACTTGATGAATGAGTACCATCAAATCTTCTCGGATGTTCCAAAGAAAACTAATGCAGCTTGTCATGATGTTATAGTTGGCGACGCTCTGCCTATCAAACAACATCCGTACCGTCTCAATCCAATAAAATTGCAGTACCTAAGAAGGGAAGTGCAGTATATGTTGGATAATGACATTGTTGAACCTAGTAAAAGTAATTGGAGCTCACCGTGTATTCTTGTACCAAAACAGGACGGTTCCTACCGATTAATATGTACAGACTTTAGAAAGGTGAATTCTGTTACCAAAACTGATTCATATCCAATACCTAGAATTGATGACTGTATTGACAGCATTGGAAACGCCAAATTTGTCAGTAAATTTGACCTGTTGAAAGGCTACTGGCAAGTGCCGTTAACAGAAAGAGCAAAAGAAATATCTGCTTTTGCTACACCAGATGGACTTTACCAGTATAAAGTAATGCCTTTTGGCATGAAAAACGCACCGGCTACATTCCAAAGGATGATTCACTCCCTTCTTCAAGACCTTGAGGGATGCGAGGCGTACATTGATGATGTCATCATATACAGTGACACATGGGACGAACATCTTCGAATCATGCATGCTTTATTTGACATTTTAGCTAAAGCAAACTTAACTGTGAATCTTGAGAAGAGCGAATTTTGTCATGCTTATGTAGAGTATTTAGGTCATAAAGTAGGTCAAGGTTATGTTACACCAATTACGGCTAAAGTGGAAGCTATTGCAAAGTTCCCGATTCCTACAAACAAGAAAGAGTTAAAGAGGTTTTTGGGCATGGCTGGGTTTTACAGAAAATTTTGTCCAAATTTTTCCTCAGTTGTAAGTCCACTTACAAATCTTTTGCAGAAGAGGGTTAACTTTGAATGGACAAAGGACTGTGAAAAATCATTTCAAAAAATCAAATCTGTCCTTATGAGCAACCCAGTTTTGTCAACTCCAGATTTTTCTAAACAATTTAAGCTTACTGTTGATGCTAGTGATGTTGGAATCGGGGCAGCTTTGTTTCAAGAACATAGTGATAAGGTAGATAGAGTTGTTTCTTATTTTTCAAAGAAACTTACAAAATGTCAACAAAAGTATTCCACCATTGAAAAGGAATGCCTTGCTTTGTTGTTAGCCTTACAGCATTTTGATGTTTATCTGAATGTTACTTTGCATCCAATTCTTGTATATACGGATCACAACCCCCTGACATTTTTGCATAAATTGTCAAATAAGAATCAAAGACTGACTAGATGGAGTTTGTTGTTACAAGAATACCACATAACAATTAAGCATATCAAAGGCAAAAACAATGTTATTGCAGACGCCTTGTCAAGAGTATCGTAAACATACTAGATTTTGTATTAATGTACAAAACTTTTATTTTAATAATATAAGTTTTCATTGACATTCAAACTTTTTAAGGGGGGAGGTGTTGTGAGATGTGTATTGTTTCATTATGTATATAATTAGTAACATTAAGTTTCTTGAACGTTCCAGAGTGGTCAACATGTTCGGTCATTTTATCTAGAACATTCTTAAATTTTGTGTATGTCCAGATTGTTCCAGTAATATCATGTACTTACAACTTCTAGAATTTTCTAGATTTATAATACTGTATAAATACCCTGTCAATTCAATGCATATACAATAATTGTGACTTTTGTCGTATGAGCACAATTGAGATATAACTGGAATATATTTTCACTGGGACATTGTGTGCAGCAACGGACACTCTGATGTATGTATTTTTAGATTCTTGCTAAGTTTGTACTTTATGTTTCATATACTTATTATATTTTACTGTAAATAAATTATTGTTAAGTTTAAATTGTGTTATTGATCTTTGCTGGCATTTCGGGTAATTCTGACCCATAACAGAATCATGTAATATGGTTTTCTAAGATCAAACTTCCATTACCCACAAGATCTCTGGCTGGGCCGACATCTTTAGAGTTCCAGTTAAATGAGAACATTGACGGCCAATTGGTGAACCCTTCATGATGTTTGCTTGTCAAAACAACATATCTAAAAAGATGTCAAAAGAAATAATGCATAAAACTTTTGAAGTGCAAACAAAATTAAGCACAGGAATTTAGATGTGTAATGCTTCCAATTACAAAAGAGAAAATACATGTATACACATGTAGAATATATTGTTCAGCATGAACTTTCTGACTACTTAGCACAATTGAATTGAATTGAAATATCTTGTCTGTAAGTTGAAACAATCTTTTATTTTTTAATGATTACATGTCCTGAATTTATAAATTTTCAATTGGTTAAATGCAATATGCCACAAATAATTTAAAAGATTTCATTTTTACTGGGTCTATATTAGCTGTAAAGCACTTTCATTCAAAATCAATAAAGCTTATAAATGTCTCCATAATTTCTTTTGTTAAGATTGTCATGTGTTACTGATTTAATATCATGTGATATCTATCAACATAGATTTAATTTTTCTTAGGTCAATGGTCTTCACACATCAAGTAGCTTAATCCTTAGTCATCTCTACCAAATAGTGATTTTATGCCTGTATTTAAAAATGTTAATCATCTTGTCCCATAAGGCATAAAAAGAGGCACATGGGCCACATCGCTCACCTGAGGACATCAGCTAAGAATAAGGACAAAGCATGCTTACTTGAGGATGCCTCCATATTGATATAGCATATAGCTTTGCTGTTCTTGAGAAAAAATTTTTTTTTAATTCTTCCTATATATTACTTTGTAAAAATTTGATCCCCCATTGTTACCCCTCCATACCAGAAGAGGTCATGATTTGAACAAATTTTTATCTTTACTACATAAGGATGCTTATCATGCTTATATGTCAAGATGACTAAACATATATAATTTTTCTGTTCCTGAGAAGATTTTCCCTTTTTTCTTATGTAAAACTTTGATCCTTCTTTGTGGCCCCACTAACCCTCAGGGGGCTATGATTTGAACAAATTTAAATCTACACAACCAGAGGATGCCTCCTTATAAATATCACTAATTATGACTTTGCTATTCTTGAGAAGAAGATTAATAAAGATTTTTTTCTGTATATTTCCATGTAAAACTTTGATCCCTTAGTGTAGCCCCATCCTATCCTTGGGGGACATGATTTGCACAAACTTGAATCAACACCACATACCTGTGGACAATTTACTTAAGTTTCATCTTTTTTGGCCCAGTGTTTCTTGAGGAGAAGATTTTCAAAGATTTTTCCTATATATTCCACAATCCTATGTAAAACTTTGCTGGTCATTGTGGCCCCATCCTACCTTGGAGGTCATGATTTGAACAAACCTGAATCTACATCATGTATGGATGACTCCACATAAGTTTCATCTTTCTTGGCTCAGTGATTCTTGAGAGGAAGATTTTTAAATGATACCATTAGTTTTTCACTAATTTGTTATTATCTACCCTAGCTTGAACAATTTTGAATCCCCTTCACTTAAGGATACTCTGTGTCAAGTTTGGTTAAAATGGACCCAGTTACTGAGTAGTTCTTGAAAAGAAGATGAAAATGTGAAAAGTTTACAATGACGACAAAGGAGATTATTATCCTTCAGAATTATACAGTCAATCTGATTGGTTTAGAGCAGGTCACGTGCAGGGAGACAACTCGTGATGTCTTCCTCATGCGCAGGGTGACAACTCTTATCTTCCTTCACATGACAATGAAATAGTACAAGTGAGCATGCTGGGTCACAACTGTGTTGTTGCCTTTTGAATGAAAATACAGTGGTTTTAGCGAGATGACTCATATTTTTAATTTAACAATTGTTAAATATGCAGGATCAGAAAACAATAAATTCCAATGATGACGTCAAAGTTGTCTGTTGACATATTTTGAAAGTATGGAATCAGAGCAGTGTAGGAGAACACAAGAGGTTTGATTACTACTTTCTACTTTATTTAACTGCTAATTTAGATTCTTCAGGATAATAAAAGTATTATGGACTGTTTTGAAGGGAGACATCACCAATTAATCATCAGGTCTGAGTAGGGTTGTCACCCTCGGGTGCAAGCACCTTCGGGTGACAAACCTACTCAGACCTGATAATTAATTGGTGATATCTCCCTTCTAAACAGTCCATAATTGTATATTACAACAGACAAACTTTAATCAGAAAAGCTCACTTGAGCCTTTGGCTGAGGCAGGTGAGCTAAAATCTCATTCACAAGTTGTTGTTTTTTTGTTGAAGCTGCATGCTTTTTCTCCATGTTTTTTTTAAAAATGCCATGTCAAAACTACATTATTAAGATTCAAACATGCTTTCGGCATCGGGTGACATAACACTCCAGGGCTTTCCTGTCACCTCGGGGCAAATATTCTGGTATGTCACCCTCGAAGCCATGTGATATATGTATAATATCACTGTAGCACTAGGGAAATTAATCAGTTGAACATGTAGTTTTGACTGTCTTTTTTAATAAATATAGATCAAAATGTGGAACTTCTTATCTAAATTATTAAATGGAAGAATATAACAAACATACTTATCATGATGCTTATAAGTCATCTTGGTGGTGAAATTCATCTTATTCTTAAAAGTGAGCAACACTTTGTGTCGCATGTCACTGCGGGCTCTGACTATAGGCTTAATTGGTCAATAAGAAACTTCAGACTTTTACACATTGATTCATCAAAATTTTTTCCACAGTAACTTTGGACCCACAAAGATTCGCTTGTTAAAGCTATGTTTTCATGACAAAATGAACAATAAAAGTTAAATTTAAAAAATCGCCTTGATTTAACAGTTGAATGAATATACATTATAATATTGCAGGTACATTACTAAATAGTTAACATGCAGGTAAATTTTAAGGACGTTTGATCCTGAGATTTTGAGCGTATTTTGGTCAGGTCCTTTATTTACAAAATTCTGCATCATTTTTAAGTTCTTACATTAAATTTGAATTCTACAGTGCAAATTAACTATATTCAATGAAAAAACCGCGATTAAATTCCATTCAAGTAGAATTAAGCTCGTGACTATATTTTATGGCGGAAGGATTTTTAGACGAAAATGATCAATTTTTCCATTTTGAACTTAACAGTACTGTTAATTTTGGATTCCTATTTTGCCATCCTGGTTGCGCGCAAAACTGTTTTTTTGCAGTGAAATGTGTTATGCTGGTTCTGAAATATCTATTTAATTATTTCTTATGAATTCTATCAACAAAGTGTGACAAATATAGTAAATATATTCTAAAAACCCAGAAAAAATTGAGCCAATTTTAACGTAAAATTGACACTTTTTTAGTAATATCCAAAACTTTACATCATATACTCCCACTTTTGATGTTCTTTTCTTAATATTCAAGATAAATTTGACCTATTTGCTTAAAATCAGAAAAAGTTCAAAACTTTCAAATAATTTTCTTGCTTATTAAATTTTCAATGCCAGAAAAATCACTTTATCAGTGCAGAAAGGTCAAATAATTGATTATGCGAAGCAATTTGAAAATTTTTCTTAGTCACAATTTTTAAGTGTCTTTTTTTAAACAAACTTAGTGAGAGTTCATTTTGTTTCATGCTTTAATTGGATAAAAATATTGGAAGGAAAACATCCAAAATTTTTATCTTAATTAAGACACAAATTTCAGTGCAAAAAGGTCATATTAAATGTACTGTAGCGCAAAAAGAAGCGTATTAACCCCCATTTTTTGATTTGAATTTTAATCAAGTCCAGCACAATACCCCAATAAAGGTAAATAGCTTGATAAAGCTATATAGCTTTATCAAGGTATTTAAAATACCTTGATCAAGGTATTTTATGTAATGAAAATTCTAAAAAATTCTTTAAAAATTAAATACCGAAAGTCGAGTTCTGAGTTTTTGTCAGTGTGTCTACTCGTGCATGAAAAACACCTGGTATCAAAAGGAAAGCATAAAATAACGTCTCCTCACACGACACGTTTTTCTACTGATTTGTTTGAGTTTGAGTTCTTTACATGCATGGGTGAATTTACTGACAACTAGTGTTGTATAATCGGAAAAAAATTGAAACCGATTATCGGTTAATAATCGATTTCCGATTTTAGTGATTAATCGAATTAATCGGTTTCCATATTTATTTTGAAACATATGTGAAATAAAGGATATATGACTCTATAAAATGTTTATTTTTTTACTATTCAATGTAATCATTACCTAGGATATTGACAGTAGTGTTTAGAAATCAATTTTTAACCTCTCAAATGTCATCTTTTTTCCTGTAAAAACCAGGTGTCCGATAAGTACTGGTCCGCTCTTCAAAATTTGAATGAATTTCGGTATGTTTTCTAGTGATCTTTAAACAATTTTTCAAGCAAAAATCATAAAATATTTTAATATATTTGTTTTGCTCTTGAGTTAACCTCTGGCGAAATGTAAATTTTTTAATTTAATTGTACAACACTGCTTAGAAATTCTGAAAAACGCACGATTTCTGTCCCATAATTACTGGAGGACCAGTAGCGTGTATAGCGTTTTCCCAAACTTCTTACCAAGGACGTAAAGTCGATATAGTACCTTTATTGGCGTACGTTCGCCTGCAGAGTTTGCAAACGGCTCTTGACATGTCTAAGTTTTGTTTCGTAGGCGGACTGGCTGCCTTTCTGTAAAATCCAAAGTATTTCCATACCTCCGACTTCGATTTAGTGCCGGAGTAGGGAAGTATTTCTCGCTGGTCGTCCTCATCGTCTGCGACACAGGGCGCCGCCATCTTTGCCAATGTAGTGTATTCGACTATTCGTGTCAACAACAGTTCGTTCTTTGTAAACTCGTACGTTTACGGGTTTTACCAATTAATCGATCTCAAATTCCGATCCGATTAATCGAAATCGGTTGGGTTTCAGCGACAGATTCCGCGATGTCGGCGATAATCGAAACACCACTACTGACAACAACTCAGAACTCGACTTTCAGTAATTAATTTTTAAAGAATTTTTTTGAATTTTCATTACGTCATAAAATACCTTGATCAAGGTATTTTAAATACCTTGATAAAGCTATATAGCTTTATCAAGCTTAATATACCTTTATCGGGATATTGTGCTTGACCTGTTAATTAAGCTATGTATGTAGAAACTAAAAATACATTTGGCAAAAAAAGTTTAAGACTTTAAATATCAGGATCGAATGTTTTTAAAAAATATTTCATTAAAATCATCACTGTTCAGTCATCGGATAGGTAATGCAACTTACAATGACGTCATGTAACGTCAGAGTATCAACCGTCAACATAGTGTGCACTGTGATATTGTGTAACTATGTGGATTGTAAACCAAGTTAATTATTGATTTTATTCCTTACTGTGCCCCTGAAGCCTGGAAAATCTCTGCCCATTCTGAAGCATTGAAGAATTCAGCTCTAAAATCCTTTGCGAAATCTGCATATGTGAAGTCGGGAGGGTAGTTCGCTTTCATAAATTCTACTGCGCTGTTGGTTTTGACCCCCTCCCAGTCCCACCAGAACCACTCCGACTCAAAACTCGGGACAGAAAATACTCCCCAGTGAATGAATATACCAACTTTTGCCGCGTCGTACCAGGGAGGTAACGGACGGGAATCTAGAGAGTCCCAGTTTGGCTCATATCTCACTGAAAATGTTGAAACTACTATCAAACACAAAAAGAAAGTTAGTCTTCCACAAATCAAGCTCATGTTGCGCGCCATGTTTATTTCATGTGACTTTTTCAATGTCACGTGATGTAGTAAGATTTAGAATCCAACCTGTTCACAAATCCGATTTCTAGCCAAGTTCTGCCCTCTCGAAAACACTTTCTTCTCCAGGCCCACAGTCAACAACGTGTTTTATGCCCCCGTAAATGAAGTTTCGGGTGTATATAGTTTTTATCGTGTCCGTCCGTCTGTCTGTCTAGCTGTCTCTATGTCTGTCTATATGTCAGCTATTGCTGTCTGTCCGCAAAAACTTTAACCTTGCCGATAAATTTTGATTTAGTGGAGCTAGGACATTCATATTTCACATGTGTATTCCTTGATACAAGACCTTTCTCTGGGCACCACCAAATTTGATCTTTTGACCTTGACCTTGATCCACTTTTACACAAAAATTTTGAACTTTTACTTTGGCCATATCTTTTGAACAGTAGATACAAGGCCATAATTTTTGAAGAATTAGGATTACGGCTTTCATACTTCACATATTGAATCCTTGTGGCAAGACCTTTCATTTGATACCAAGAACCTTGACCTTGGAGTTGACCCACGAAATTTACACAAAAAATTCAAACTTTTTACTTTGGCCCTAACTTTTATACGGTAGATACAAGGAATTTCATATTTCAAATATCAATTCTTTTTGGTAAGACCTTTCATTTGAAACCAGGAATTTTGACTTTTGACCTTGACCTTGGAGATGTCCGTACTTATGAAAAAACTTTAACTATGGTCATAACTTTTGAACGGTAAGGGCTAGGGCTTTCATACTTCAAATACAGTATTTAATCCTTGTAAGAAGACCTTTCATTGGATATCAACAACTTTGACCCTGGAGTTTGACCTACTTATTACAAACTTTAACATTGGCCATAACTTTTGAACAGTAGGGGCTAGAGCTTTCATATTTCACATACGTAATCCTTGTGACAAGACCTTTCATTGTGTATCAAAAACCTTTACCCTTTGACCTTGCCCTTAGAGTTTGACCTTCTTTTTGCAAACTTTAACCTTGGCCATAACCTTTGAACGGTAAGGGCCAGCGTTTTCATACTTTCCATTCATAATCTTTAAAACAAAGCCTTTCTTTAGAAACCAACAACCTTGACCCTTTGACCTTGACCCCGCAGTTTTTCCTACCTTTAAAAATGTCAAACCTGGTCATAACCCTTGAGCAGGTGGTGCTAGGGTTTCATATTCACATTTGTAAAGGCCTTACTTTAGGTACCAACATATTTGATCTGCATTTGAGAAAGTTTAACCTTCACTATATTGCCATACGGGGGCATCAGTGTTTCGCAAACACATCTTGTTTTAAAATTATATTTCATTTGGGTGGATGGGAGTTCTCTAATTTTTCAAATTAGGGCCTATTTTTTTTCAAATGCTGGAAATTGGATGAATTCGGTTCTATAGCAAACAAAAAGTGTGTGTGAAGGGGTAATGAGCGAGAAGTGTCTAAATATTAAAATGTCAACATATGAAAAAAATGTATTCTCAGAAAAAAAATGGAAAAGTGGAACCCCACCCGGCCCTTAAGTCCTGCCTCCGGGTATAATCGACATACCTGGTCACTCGATATTTCGCTGGAAATCTTTAATGCCGGAAATGATGGACTGTTTCTAATTTTTCTTCCCGTATATACTTTAATTAACCTAGGCACGTACGCTCATTCTTTTTAAAAGTGGTGGATTGAATATCTGAAAAGCAAGCGATAAAAGATGTCCGTTATGGGGAATGGGGTGGGGGTTAAAATGGCTGCAAAAAGATATGATAGTTCGTACATATACTAATCAGTGTAAGAAGTAGGATTTAAAAAATCAACACCTACGTACGATAATTATGAAAAGTCACGAAAATATGTAACTGAGTTGGTAATTTGGCAAATTCAATCTTGTAATTCTAAAGTCTGTGTAAATTAAAACTTCACTACAAAATCCATCCATGTGTGAAATTAGAATTTTGTATAGGTCACCAACAACGAAATTTCATAGAAAGCCAAACAAATATTTAAAAAAATTCCTTACATTCTCAACAAATATTCTTTGTTAAGAGAATAGGATCTCCGACCATAAAAAAATAACCCGCTTGATATTTTGTCTCAATTCTATACTTGAACTGGACGATGAACAAAATACACATATATAATTTTTTCTTACAGGTATAGTATTAACAATTTATTAACCCTACATTTAACAACAGATTTAGACAACTCGTAGTTGCCATCACCATTCCATGGTAGTATAATAATACAACTTGTTTGTGTGAAAAAAGTTAGACCCCCCCCCCCCCCCCGTCATTTTAACACATTCACCTGCATGCACGCAATATAACTCGGGTTTGTACAATCTACACTCTACCCTTGTAAAATATTTCCTCCTAGAACTATGTCACGTGTCTGTATAAAGCTTATATATATTCTACATATCAAGTCTTCATTTTGATTGATATTGTCATTGTTGACTACATGTAAAATAATAAACAGCGATAAATACTATATCTCAAATCAAGTTAAATAATTTGCATATTATTTCCAGTAACTTGCAAGAGGTGTTTTCTGTTTGGTTGTAAAAGGAAGAGGTGTTAAATAAAGAAGAATGTAAAAAAAAAATTGATGATAATAATCTTGATAATTTATAATCCTATGTATACAATGTTAAAAAGAGACGTGATCAACAGCCGGCGATATCACACGTGTGCCGTGGATTAGGATAAATGTCTACAGTACGGTAATTAATTCAGAAGATTAAGAAAATATTGAATTTTAACATATAACTGTTAAATTAGCCTTTGTTGTCAAAATGGATTTAATGGAAGTTTTAACATATTTTGTTCGTTTCGTAAATGCAATTAAGCCAAGTACCCGGCATATCATATTTATACATGTATAAATATAAACCTAAGGCTTAACTTAAACTAAACTTCGTTTCTTCTCAAGATTTGAAAAATGCCAGCTTTCTCGCCAAAAGAAACTCTCTCCTTTTTCAGCATCGTCGCAAACCACGGCCAAATTGTACGATCCTCTCCCATTCTGGCCGTGGTTGAACGAGGAGAGAATATATACGGACTCCGGACCGTGGCTTGAGACGATGCTTTTTCAGGTGTCTCTGAAAATTTAAGATAACACATACCGTTTGATAAAATGTACAGATAGGTAATAACCCCCTCCCCCCCCCCCAAAAAAAGACATTTCGTGAATGAAATAATGTGAGAAAAGGCTGACTTGGTTTAAGAAAAAAAAGTAGTTCCATCTTCTCCAGGGTTAGTTTGAATTCATATTTTTGAATAATTGATTGTTAAAATTTTATTTACATACAATTTAAGGGATCGTCATTTTAATATTTTAAGCATAGTTTTACTAGTATATGGATGAAACAAGAATCTATGAGGTTACTCATAATAGGTTACCAAGATTTTGTTTTGAGAGAAAAATGCCAGATCAACGGATTAATTTTTCGACTCTTAAAATAAATGTATACCAAAGTTTGATACGCATATGGATTATTTGTTACGAGAATTTTAAGTACATGGATATATACACAGGGAAATTAAATCCGACTTAATGATGTAATTCAGATGAGCGTATAATCAGTTAATAATTACAAACAAAATTATCTTTATGATCTTTGAAATACTTTGCATCACGTTGTTATGCCAACAAAAATTAAAAAAAAAAGATATATGTATATATTTTAAAGTTTTTTTTTTTTAAATTTCCTTTTTTCAAACGTATAAAATACAAAAATTATGCGTATTGTTAAAAAAAGAAAGAATTTGAATGATTTCAGCATCAAAAGTACAAGCTGAGACCATGCAGGTGATTTTTGGTAAGAAAGTCTCTAAATCTTGTGTACAATATCTGGAGAGATTCAGTCTAATCGCAATATATTATAAAATCTTTTCATGTTATTGAGTTACAGTACCTACACCACCAATGAAAGTGTATTGAGGAAATCTAGCTGCCATTGAATTTTTAATTGATCTACATAGTTACAAGTAATACCAATACAGACTGCTAGCAAATAATAAAACCATGAAAACGGTGTATAGGTGCAGACGTCTTAGACGAAGTCTTGAAACAACATGATGCATATTTAAGCTTAGTCAATAGGGTGCTTTATAATTTATGGACACAATGTAAACCCACTCCAACGCAATAAAAGTCTAATAAAAATACCACCAATTTTCCCTGTTTTATAAGCAAGTGCAACATTTAAACAGACACAAAGAGTCCTTATGTAACGGATGTCAACTTGAAGCACACTTTTATAGATAAATTCCTTTCAGTAATATTTAAAAAGTGAAGAAGTGATTTCAAGTTATTTTATTTCACTTTTGCAAACAAACACAATTTACTGAAACAGGAAGCAGATGTCATACAATATAATACAAACATACAGCTTATAAATATTGCCGGAGTTTTACACCTGACTAGTATAATGTAGCAATTAAGAATATAAAGAACATGAGCATAAGCTTAATAATAATAAAAAAAGTTCAGCTATGATATGAGAGAGAGAGAGAGGGGGGGGGGGTATTTTTTAAAATTGATCGGTCTCATGTTACGAAAGATAAATGATACCTTTAACTAAAAAAATAATTTATATCAAAATATACATGTTTATTGAAATAAAAACCACACAATTTAATTAAAAATGAAAATGTTTGTTTGGTTTCGAAGTAGAGCAGTGACAATGTACTATAATACATTAATTTTATTGCATGATAGTGATGGAAATATGAATACTTATTCAGCCAAGAATAATCATATTCCCCGAGGGCTTTGCCCGAGGGGAATATAATATTTCTTGGCTGAATAAGTATTCATGTTTCCCGAACATTCATGCAATGAATTGGTTATTATACCGAAAGATGCAAAAACTTTGAAATAAAAATAAACTTTCAAATTCCTTTAGAGATACATGCATTCATACAGGAATGGATATTCTGGAATATTCAAAATGGCGGAATTGAACAATTATTAACAGATTCAACGTCAACTATAACTCTCAGATATAAGCTTTTTCACAAAATTTATCATTAATAATAAATGCAGCCATTCATCCTGACATGTTCTCTTGACCAATATACGCAACATGGTATCCTTTTTTTAACGAAACGAATAAAAAAAAACTTAAATACAAAAGCACCATAGCGTAGACCTTTTTCTTTGATTGTCTCTCTATATATTGGATCTTTGCGTGACAAAAACAGTGGGCAGCGCTGACATATCGTTCGGTAATTCTATGCTGTTTCTAGGATCATCTTTTCGTAGTGTCACAGTGATTGGCGGTAAAATTAACTTCGGAGTCTTTCGTGGGGATTCCTCAACCTCCTTCTCTTTTTCAATTTGCTCCATTCTTTTCTTATGTACTTTCTCAAGGAGTTCTGGAGTTTGCTTTGTTCTATCGAACACCTCCACCCTTTTCCTCTGGCTAAGAAGGAGCTCCGCAGCCCGTTTTCGCCTAACAATGGGCGACATTTCGTGTAACTGTTTCTGAACCTCACTCTCTAGTTCTTGCCTGCTAATTCCAGGTCCGTATATTCCGTACTTGTCGTCCCAGTCTTGCTCTTTGGCACGTTCTTTCATGATGTTCTCAAGCACTTGTTTATATGCTTTGTGGTCCTTCAAGTTTTCCTGAAACATGGTTCTTTCGCGTTCGTTCTTCATTTCGAAAATATGTTGAGCGGCTTTCACAGTGTTTTGTTTCACTTTAAGTCTAGCAACTTCAGAGCGATTTAGGACGTTAGCCATCTTTGCTCTGTAATCGCACTGTCTTTGCAGCGCTTCCATTTTGGATTCCGTGTAAAAACTTCCCGTGTATTCATCATAGAATACCTTCTTTTTCTTAACTTCACCACCACTACCAAAACTCATGCTGAATTACCGAAAATACCTATGTCACTTCATAAAATCATATCAGTCCACGAATAATATCTTCTCGCAAATTATTGGAAATATTTGAGAGCTGTGTCAATTGCCGGGTAGATAAAATGATATAATCCTCTACCCCACGTTCGTAAGATTTACCACTTTTTGTCTCTCTATGTAACAGTCAGGAACACATTAAATGTATAAATATCAAGACTGCCATATGGATACACCAAGATAACGGATTTCCTTAGGAACCGACTGTTCGGTAGATCAACTTCACGGGGAAATAAAACGCTGTTGTAAACGAAGGTGGTACGAACAATTGTTTGGGTATTCCAAATATAATCCAAGAGTTTAAGAGGATTTAAAACTATAATTCTCCTATCATTACTAAGCCACACTTCTGTCTTTTCAAATAAACTAATACTTAGTGGCTAAGGGTCCCTACAATAATTGATCCCTTTTGCCAGTATTGTCCAGTGAAATATAGGTGAAACATAATTCCATTTTTGACATATTGACAATTTTTTTTCAAAAAGAAAATTCTGTAAAGAGGTATATTTTAAGCGTCAAGCCAAGCGGATCGAAACTTCAATTGCTTTCATATCGCAACATGTCTTATACAATTACTCTATTAAAATCATGAAAAGCATAAACGAACGGGTCGAACAATATCGTGTTTAAATTTCATAAGTATTGGAATTTAATCTGTAAACGAGATGATTTAAAAAACCACCAATTCTATCACAGAAATCAATATATACCGTTCTTTCTTTCGTCCGTGCGTTCAGATTGCGTGAAATATGAAAAGCTGTACTTTTCTATATCATTGTCAAATCAATTGATTTCGTATGCTATTTAATGAAAAGTGCATTAACAGATACATTAAGTAATTGAAAGAGTTTATTCATTACCGCTCCCTGGAATTTGTTTAATAATTCTTACTAAGGTGTTCTTTTATTTATCGGATAGCAATAAGAATTGACATTTTTACGAGTTGAAAGGGGGTAGTCGTCAAAGCAATGTTACGTTAGTTTAAAACAACAAGGTATATTATTTGTGTTTCCCGTAAACAGTCAGTGCTTTGTGTATTCAGTTCAGTTTTTGTTAAATGAAAGCGGTATTTATTAGATAGAAGACTAGAAGTTCTTTCATCTAGCTGTGTTAAAATTCTATAACCCATGTAACCGTGTACGTATAACCGATTTAACTACGGTCTGATAAAAAAAAACCTTTTTGCCAAGAGCATGAACAGAATATTATTGTGGCCAATTCTCAACAGTCTATAGATGCACCAAACGATCGACATTATTTGATGAACCTTAGTTGTATTGATTGATTGTATATTGTTTAACGTCCCTCTCGAGAATTTTTCACTCATATGGAGACGCCACCATTTGCCGGTGGAGAGCTGCAAATTGTGTCGGCAGTTAGGCCATTGAACATGGAGGGATCTTTTTCATGCCAGCACCTACTGCGACACAGTCTCATCCGTAGGACCGGTCTCCACGTCCCACAGTTGGTATGTCATGCGAGATGAATTCAGCTTTTCCAACCTCGACTTCCTTTAATATTTATTCTGCTATTACCCGCATATGGTTTATCGAACGTTTTCCATTTTATTCGATACTTAAGGATATGCTTTGAGTAAAACCGAAGCAGGCTAATGATAGATAAGTTTATGTTACAGGGATTTCAACATTCTTGTTTACAGTCAGCATAATGTAAATTCTACGGTCGTTTGCTTATTTGTAAGTTTAACGCCTGTTAGAGATTGTTCAATCACAATAATATATTAAGACGCCACCACCTGCCGATAGGGGACTGCAAATTTAACCTGTGGTCGACACTTAGGCCCTTTGAGTAGAAAGTTTAAGAGATATTTTTTTCATTCCAGCTCATGCAGGATTCGAACCCGCGACATGAGAAACAATTCCTTACTCGGTGAATCTAGAGAAAACGCTCTAACCACTGCACCACGCGGCCGGGTGACCTATGGTTACGTTTGGTCGTTATATACTATGCATAATGACCGTATTAGAAAATATAACCAGTCACTGACTCTTCAACGTAGTTTGAACTATTTTGTCTTTTTCCATGGAGTTGAAGAGTTCCAGTCGCTGAGGGAACTGTGTTCTATATTTTAATGTCTATATATGGTGTTGTACATGAACACTTATTCTAAAAACAATTTTTGATAAAAGAAACATCTAGAATATTTTTAGTATTTTTAAAAATATATTTTTATTTGATTCATTCAAGAATTTTCATCGGTTGATATCTTTTTAAAAAACGCCCTAGCAATACATGCTGACTTAGTATAGGCTTTAAACATTGCAGTTTAGGTTTAGCACCCCCTCTTTCCACAGACACGTCGCAGTATAGGTAAAAATGATCTGTAGACAGGGGATGCTTAATCCTCCCTAGCACCTGATCACACCTTTAAAATTTCATGGAGTCTATAAGTTTTGCACTTTTTTCCATACAGATTTGTATATTTTGTTTTGTGTATTTTTCTTTGGTGGTGGTGGTGGGTTTAACCCCCTTCTCGAGAATTTTTTCTCTCATAAGAAGACATCACCACGGTTGCAAATTCATACCTATACTCGACACACAGGACCATTGATTAGTGAGGGTTCTTTTTTCTGCCAACGCTGGACTTACTGGGAGGAAAAAATGAAATATGTGCAAAATTCAAAAGTAGGTCAACATGACAAAGTGTTTGAAGATCCTAATCCATTTAGGAAACTTTTATCAAAGGACCGATATAAGTCAATGTAGGAGCGATTTATAAACCACTCTTTTCCCGAGGGTATTGCCCCTTCCTACATTGTACCTCCAGAGTCAAAAGTTTGAACAAACACTACCGAGGATGTTTCCTTTTAAAATTCATCTTTTCTGGCTTACACTACAGTGGTTTTTGAGAAAAATTAATGAAAGAAAGTGGATAACAAAATGGCCAGTCATACAAATATATTAAGTCATGAACATTTGCACATTTTGTCGCTAAAATACTGTTTTGAAGAATATTTACTGGGGTGTTGAAAAGAAAGGGACTCAAACACACTACGGAAAGGCAGAGAGTGAGAATGCAGATACAGATGACCTGTTATTAATGTCACACCAAGTTTGAATACCTACATTAGCAGATTTAAGGGGCGGGAGTCAGGGAACATCCCTTGCCCCGAAACCCTTGATAAATATTAAACTTACTAAAGGATTCAAAAGAATCTTAAAAATATACAGTCAAACTTCATTATCTCGAACCTGGCCTGGGGGCCATGGGACTGAGAAAAAAACTTAAAGATACATTGTATCCTAGGATTCAAGATACAGTATCAAAGGTTAAATACTTAGAGAATATGACTTGTGTTTGGGACTTCAAAATCACCTCGACATAATCATGGTATTCGAGATATCGAAGCTCAACTGTAATTAACAATCACACAACTAAAAGAGTGTATAAATATAAACAAAACACTAAGCAGTTAAAATAATTTATATATTAAAATATCATCAATTTTATAATATAATGTATAGAATGTGATGATGGTACATCAATAATAAAATGACAAAAAATAAAACAAAAGAAAAACATAAAATGGATGGATGATTTCCTTAGTTTATAAGGCATGGATAACTGCATGAACACCAGGTTTTATCCATTAAAACTACTGGACGGAAGTGCAATACATACTAGTGCAATAAAACAACCCGCTAAATAATTAAAAAATAAATCCACACCATACAACCCTTGTCTCTCTAAATGGCCTTCTGATATCATAACCCATTGTTACAATCATGACAAGAAAGTCAAAAATTGTCAATCAGTAAAATTCTTAACTTTTTCCTAAAGTGCACTTTATATAAATTTCAACTAGTGCAAATAAAAATAAAATTGACTAGAATGGAATACAAACCAACTTTACCCCAAAATTGTTCTCTGTTTTTTACAGAAAAATTATGGCAACCCACTAAAGACAAAATACCTAATCCCTTTCCTATAAAAGACTTCTTCATGTCTACTGTAAATGTTTAAAGCTATGAAAAGCATCTGTTGAAAAAACATGTCTCTTTTATCACACTGAGTATTAATATCACCAGATTTAAACTTCTAGGGTACAAATTCCTACTGAATAACTGTTGATAAAGCCTTTATTTACACGATATGTTAAGTAGATTCTAGTTCACAAATACACAAAGTAAATATAAATACATGTACTACATGTAGTATATGTTATGTAAATTATACTCTGTTTGTGAAGGCTTCAAAACCAAATATCACAGATATGTGCACTTGTAAATGTAACTGTGTAAAAATAATATTGCATAAGTTGAGTAAAAATATAAAACTTAAAATTTTTAGGTCACTAAAACCTAATTTTGCTCATAATGGGATGCAACTGGAATAGTAATCCTGAAAAAAATATTAATATCCTTCCAATTTGATCAGATACCAAACAAATAATAGTGTGCATATATGTTAAAATCTTGATAAAGCATGTTGACTTTTGATTATGAGTTCATGCATATAATAAAATAATTATTGCATAATTATGGTGAGAGATGTAATCATAAAATCAGATGAGCATTAACATATTCCTTCGAAAAACGAAACTGATTTTTGCCGAGTAGAAAAATCTGGAATATGCATGTAGACAGATCGTTATGAAAACTTCTCTCAGCCCTTGGAAAACAAGGACGAAGTGTTGTTGATAAGTTATGGATGAAATGACTGAACAATATTGATGGCTAAACAAGATATTTTCTCTGTAGCACTTCTAAGTAGTCTGCATTAGATTTGGCAAAGGAGGAGTTCATTGTATCACTGTGTAGGCGGATCACAGGTTTTCCATTGTCATGGGGTGCTGAAATGAAAAACACACACACAAAATTTCAATTAATCTGTACGCAGTATGCTAATTGTTTAATATAGGTGAAAATGTTCATAAGTTCCAAAATATATACAGTATTCATGAATACTACACACAGCAAACCATATATGCATAGTTTTGTTTACTTTGAATTAGTTAGTATTTTGTGATTGTTAATTACTACATAACTTTGAACTTGAGATATAGGGTGGAACAGTAATTACATTGAATCTGTAAATGTTGATTCACAGTAATTGTTTCCCAATTAAGTCAACTAATAAATTTAATCATGGTCATTTTTAAAAATAAATTTATAAAATGATCATTTATAATAATAAGGATCATAATAATACAAGTACGTACATACACTTCAGCTAAACTTCAATTATTTTACAAAATGAAAACAATTACTACAATTACTGCGGCATTTTGTTTATTTATGTTATGAAAACCTAGTAAGCAAGATTGTGTTGTGAGGAAATTAAGTATGGTGGGAAGTGAAAGGTTTCATATATCCACTTGTGTACAACTTATAATTCCTTACCATATATTATAACAACTTGACATCAAAACGTATACCTACAGATCAGATTGGTTATTTTAATGCAATAGAGGAGCCAGTTAATCAGACTTTAATTTTTTATGTATCATTTTCATTTCTTGATGCCTCAAAACAAGATAAGTAAATACATGCAATCAAATTAACCTTCCATAATTTTAAAATAATGGTATGCAAATTGTGTGATTTCAAGAGAGATAACCATGTCTCCCCCTCCAAAATTCATGCTGTATTCATTTAACAGAAAGAAAAAAAAACACAAGAGGAAAAAAGGCAACAAGAGGACAGTACTCAACTGATTTTCTCCTTGATGTACAAAATGAAGTAAAATCTGTATATAATTGTGTCAAAATATAAAATGAATGCCTTTTAACTGAACGAACAGGGAACTAATGTGAAATTGTTAATTTTATCAGTACAGGAATAAATTACTGAAATTAATAGCTTTCTGTGTAGAAATGACAAGGTTACGTAATGCTAGGAGACAATGACAGACTCTGGCCTACCTGCTTCTAGGTGTTTATTGATGCTGCGATCTAACTCGGCCTTCAGTTTACTGGTAAATAGGTCGTCCGTTGTCCCTGAAATTCGGCTCGTGTCCAGCAACTGGCCGTTAAGTGTTCCTGAGAAGGTGAGGTTTCCTAGAGTATTCAGAGCCCGGTTTCTCTGTTTTTCTAAGCTGTAAATATGGAAAATTGAGAAATATTAGATTAGCAATGAATTTGTCTGGGTCAAAAATTAAAGATAATTTTTATGATGACTATTTTGGAGAGGGTAGATAACAGAAAAATTAGCAAACTGTTATAAAAATTCATGCATCTTTTTTTATGCAAAAGAGGAAAGAAAAAAAAAGCAATTAAGAATAAGTACAAGCTACATGATATTGTATGCTGTACTAACAAGTGACAACAATCATGCAAGTCTATAATCATTAAATTTATAAGATAAAATAAAAATTACTAATTTTAAGACTAGCACCAGAAAAAATAACGTTACAACAATCAGAAAATGTTTTTTAATCAAACAGAGAAAAAAACAGATAAACATCAATGATTTTAAAGAAACAGTAGAAGAATAAAGGTGCCAGCTCCCGCATGCCTGTGACAGTGTGGGGCCTGCACTTACACTAACTTTGACTTGTACGTGAAGGCTTTGTCAGAGGTCTGCATCAACTGGTTACTAAGACGCATCCTCCATTGCATCTCGCTCTCGTAGAGTTCCCTGTAACGTTTGACCTCCATCTCACGACTCTCCCTCTCAGCGACAGCCTGCTCGTACTTCATCTTCAGGGAAGCATTCTCCTCCTAATGGGTAAAGGTACGGAATCATAGGATTAACATGGCAGTGACATATTAACTAACAGTTAATTTTAAAATCAATTTTTAATATTAAAAAACACTATAATTAAACCTTTTGTTGTTAAAATCTGCATGATTTCAATTCTTCCTTTCACAAGGAGTGTAGAATTAAATTCGAAACATTAATCTTACGGATAAAAATTATTTATTAATAATATGATGAATAAATGCGTGTCAGTGACATCCAATATAATTTGTAACACCAGTATATTTTATGTGGATTTTTCCTACCTGAATCTTTTTCTGGTCGTCTCTGATCTTGTACTCGGTTTCGTCTCGAGACATGTCCAGTTTCTCGCGAGCTCGAGCCTGGTCCTCCAGGTAATGGTTGACGTCCTCCAGTTTCCGGTTCAGTTCCATTCTGTAACGAGCCTCCATCTCGCGCTGGATACGCTCCAAATCCTCCCGATCTACGTAGCCAGTCTCCACCTTATTCTGAAAGAGGAAATATTACAATAATAACAGAGCTGTTAAAAACTTCTAAAATTCTGGTTTGGTTAACGGAGAAATATATATTTCTATGGAATGTTTCCATTTAAGTGGTTCTCTGAAGCAAGAAGCCAAATAAATATCCCATATAAAACAATTTTGTAGAGCATAATAGGAAATCCATTAAACTTGATTACTAATGACAAAAAAAAAAATCATAAGTTGACAAAGTAACAATTATTAGTACAATTTAGGATTTCTTCCCCTGATATTGGTACTCTATATTCTAAAATGCTTGAACAAACAGCTAAATATTAAGCAATAACATTCATGCATTTATAACAGGGTAAAAATCATAGACTTTTTCACAAAAAATATTTCTTCAACTAATTGGAAATAACTTGTTCATTATTTAAGCATATATATTAATTGAAAGATAAATAACAGGATTTGGAGTATTAGTATGGGTACCTTAAAAGAACACTGTTCAGAGTACACAAGCTGACTTGTTGTTATATTAACCTACATGTAACTACCAAATTATGGAAAAGTGATCCAAATTTCAAAGCAATTCTCCACAACTGTGAAACACTGAGTGCAAACCTTAAAAACTATTCTCCTGCTATTCAAGTGCATGCATTCAACAAAATAACACTGCAAAAAACAAAATCTAGTAAATTCATCATTGAAACTTCAATGCCATCGACATCCATTAACTGTAATACTCTAAAACTTAAAGGAACCAATATCAAGCAATGTGCAACAGAACAAATATGTAACAAGCATGCATTTTCCCTGGATACAAATTATGGTGAAGCATCTCATTTTCCCATCATGCACCATTCACAGTGGCAAGACCCAGTACCTTATAGGCCTTATACTCGCTCTCCAGCTTATCTTTCGAGAGCTCCAACTTTTTTATCGCCTTTTTGAGCTGCTGCAGCTCAGCGAGCTCATTTTGCAGCTTAAGGTTCTTGGATTGGAGTCGTTGTTTCTCATCTACCTCTCTCTCCAAATGAAGCTGTAAGTCCTGAAGCTACAGGGGTCAACAAAGGTCAAGAGACAAGAGAGACATGAGATAGAGATGATGAGTATGATATAAAAGAAGAGAAGTTACATTTGCCAATTTAGGTAGACCTCATGAAGAAATAAGCTGCCAAAAATAACTTTATATTATACAGAAATATAAACTATTCCCTACATTATAGAGTGTATATGTTTACTGTGCACAGCAAATGATTATTAATAAAACCACTCTTTCTCTGTGCATTATGAATGGTTTACCTGCTGTCTGACAGAAGATAGAGTACTTTCCATGGTCATACGCTCACGATCAAAATCAGCACTCAGGGAGTTAATTCTAGAGTCACGGGAATCAAGGCCCTGAAGGAAGCAGGAAAGGGGAGGTAATGAGGGAGAAAAACAGGAACAGGAAATCAATGTGCAGGTGCATCATGGGTGTGACTTCAATTATTTTAAATTTGAGAATGATAATAAAAATATATTTCATTTTGTCACACAAAATAATAATAGATTAAGTATGTAAGTAGGACTTAAGTATATAATAAACATTGTTTTGCAGAATTAAATGATTTGAAGCCACATTAACACCTAGGGCACTGACTTCCTTTCCAGTATGAGAGTGGTAGATTTTCAGAAACAAAACTGATATGAAAACAAAAGTGAGACAACAGGGATCAGGAGACAAAGAAGTCTATAAGGATGTGATTTATATCAGAGATATATTCTCCTAGCTATTTGGCTACATTGTACTTGTATCTAGCTAATATTGTTTTCTTTACAGAAATTACAAATACACTATGTTGCAACTATCTAAAAAGATTTTTTTATTACAGAAGTTATACATACACTGTCAAGAGTGATATTTGCATCATGCTCCTGAAATCCATTTTTATTAAATTCATTTTAAAGTCATTAAAAGGACTGTTTCTATTACCTTTGTTCATTAATAGTAACTTAAAGAACTGCATGTACTGAAGCAATTCAATCAATGAAAAATAAACATAATTTTCCTATCATCAAAGTTGTATTATTTTAGGAAAAAGCTAGATTGAAATACTACAATAAACATGTACTCTGTTTAAAATTATGAAAATGACAAGAGACATTTTTATAACATCCTGACTCGCAATCTCTTATTAAAACAATTTTTTGAATAAATTTTTACGGGTATAGATGATGATCAACATTTCTTTCTTGTCATTTATATACAAAGAGAACTGATAAGCTAGACCAGTATATACAGCAAAGAAGGGCTCAAAGCTGTCAAACATAAATAACTCATTACACACCTTTAATCTCTTCTTGGCCACCTTCAGGTAAGTTTTTAAACTGGCCACTTCCTTCTGTAGCTGAGTATTCCTGTCAAGACAAGACACAAATGGCAGATTAGACTTAAAGCTCTGATTAAAACTTGAAGCATTTTAACTTCCATAGAACTCTGTATTACAGAGATATCTTCCCTCCAAGAGTTATCTTACTTGTCTATCTCGGCCTTACAGGGATTAATCTAGGTTTTGGGGGAAAATACCCTTTCTGGAATAATTGGGAAAATCAGCCGGGATCTGGTGACCACTTGAGCAGGGAAAGCCCTGACTTGGGGACAATTGAATTTCAGCTTTTTTATGACCATTTAAAGTGCATAAAGTAGCAAAGTAAAACCATATTTCTCATACACTGAAAAATTTTACTTTCTATTTTCAGTTTTTATGAAGAAAAAAAAATATTTCAGGTTTTTTTTAATTGTAAGGGGAATATTTTACTCATCAAAAGGGGAAAATTAGGTCTTCAGGGGAAATTTTCTCTAGGGGAAAAACACCGAATATCGGTAGTAAATATGCCCTAGATTAATCCCTGCCTTACAGAGTCACCTTTCCTTACTTGGGTATCTTGGCCTTACAGAGTTACCTTTCCTACAAGAGTTATCTTACTTGTATATCTCGGCCTTACTGAGTTACCTTCCCTACAAGAGTTATCTCACTTGTCTATCTCGGCCTTACTGAGTTACCTTTCCTTACTTGGGTATCTTGGCCTTACAGTTACCTTTCCTACAAGAGTTATCTTACTTGTGTATCTCGGCCTTACAGAGTTATCTTCCCTACAAGAGTTATCTTACTTGTCTATCTTGGCCTTACACAGTTATCTTACTTGACTATCTCGGCCTTACAGAGTTATTTTCTCGTCTATCTCAGCCTTACAGAGTTATCTTACTTGTCTATCTCGGCCTTACAGAGTTATCTTACTTGACTATCTCGACCTTACAGAGTTATCTTATTTGTGTAACCTGGCCTTACAGAGTTATCTTACTTGTCTATCTCGGCCTCCAATTTCATTTCAGCTGTCCTCTTGGCTTCTATCGTCTTTCTGTGCTTTCTTCTCTCCTGAAAAACATATGATGGATATAAAAAAATCTGTCTTTTTAGTTTGATTTGGAAAGAATGTAACTCTTGTTTACTGTATATCTCACCTCTTCCAGCTGAACAAATGCATCCTGTTTCTGCTTTTCATACTGGGAGATCTGGAATTTAAAATAGAAATTATTAAAACTATGCTTACAATATAAGCATTAATATTAAGAATATTTAGTCTGCCTAAAAAAATATCCATATAGTCATATCCGAAAAAATATTCATTTCACTTAAACTGGAAAAAAATAAGGAAAATATTACCAGCATTACAGAATGATTGAAATTAGATACCGGTAATCTTACTTATTTTTTAACAAGATCAATTCATAAAGATCATATATAATTATATCAACTATTTTTACCTAAGTTTGAAGTTTGATTGTTGTATTGTCTTTGGTTTGAATATATATATCTACACTAGTGTTACATTAGCAGCATGAGTATATTGGTAAGTAGAGCAGAGGCTAGTTAAGCTGAGGGATTCTGAGACGTACCTTGAGACCGAGTTTAGATCGAGATATCACCTCTTTCTCCCACAGATCCTTGTGTTCCTCTGCCTCCTGAGCTATAAGTGACTTAGTCGTGTTCTCTTCCTACAGATCCCAAAACCATAGAGTTATAGACTACACCCAAGTGGATAGAGAAAAAGGCAGAAGCAAGAGGAGAAGTGTGTGTGTAGAGATATTATTTAAAATTGGAATTATTTTGATTATTGGAATTTGGGGTTTTCAAGAAAAAATCCCTTAGTTAGACTAACTTAGACAACTAACAAGAATTTCCATTGCATTTTGTGTTATTATTTGACTAACTTAGACAACTAACAAGAATTTCCATTGCAAATTGTCTTAGTTTGACTAACTTAGTCAACTAACAAGAATTTCCATTGCAAATTGTCTTAGTATTTGACTAACTTAGTCAACTAACATGAACATTTCTATTAAAATTTAGTTTAGTTAATAGTTTTAGAATTTAAGTTTTTTTTTCTATTTATTTTATAATTATTTTGTTTTAAATCATTTTATTTGTTTCTGGAATGTTGTTTGTGCTGGTGTTCTTTTTTTTCTTTTGCATGCATTTTATTTTTTGGACTTTGCCTAAAGTCAAGGCTTAGTCAGTTTTTTGTCAGTCTCAGCAGGGTTAGTTAGCGCACGCGTAAATGGGGTTAGTCATGCCAGGCACAACTAACCCCCCCCCCCCCCCCCCCTATTGCGCATGCCTGACTACTTTCTAATCGTAGATTTTGATTAAAAACGTTCAAATTAACATCCAGTCCTGAATAATGTTCAGTAAATACTCTCAAAAGATTCCAGAATCCTCACCAGCTTGCGTAAATTTCGTAACTCGTAACGTATTTCACACTCAAACGCCGAGGAAGATCGGGTTATTTCGTTCTCTCCAATATTTTCACTAACCTTGCAGTTTGCATTCGAAAAATCCCATCCTTCGCGTTAACATTGCCAAGAAAATGCTGCAGTAGATAAAGATATGTTAGCAATAGGAAAACATGCTTTAAAACGCGGAGAAACACGAAGATATGCAGCCTCCTTCGATCTCAACACAGCCAGTGCAGACACAGCTCGGCGTCACTTCCGCTGTGACGTCAGATTCATTCGTATTCAATCGTAGCTACTCGGCTATTTCCGAAATCCTCTTCGGGTCTTGATCTCCGATACGGAAAAAGACGAGTTTGATCCGACCGCCCCTGCATTGTGTAAAAGGAATATTGGGGTTTCATTTGTAACATACTTTGGACAGTGTTATCCAATATTTTATTAAATGTTAATTAATAGATATACATAAAGACTTGTGACGAGATTACTTCAAAACACGTATGAATTATAGTAGTATTAATCCACAATATTAACGTACCTTTCTTTTGCAGCTTTACGTTGTACATCACAGGTATATAACTCTGTCTCTCTACTGAATTGTTCACAAAACTGTTTGTTCGTTTCAATGTTGAATTTAGTTTTTTTTCCTGGTGAAGGAAGTTTATGTTCAGATGTAATAATTATTCTAAAAAATTTTTGGATAAAGGAGTAAAAATAGTACTTAGTATATAATTTCACTGTCAGTTAAGAGACGCATTTTAGACACAGGTACTTGTGTAGAAATATTCAAAAATCATATACAATATTTTGATATAAAAAGTAATAATGAAGGTGAATGGAGGACTCTTAATGTGTGGGAATCTATCTATTCCACGCATAAGTTAGACGTCCAAATATTTTCTTCTCAGATACGTTTTATTTCTTTCTCTCTCTCCACTTGGCAAAAAAGGGGGGTCCAATCCTCGGACCCCCCCCCCCCCCCTTCTGTATCCGCCAATGCCCACCATTCTATAATATCGAAAGATTTGAAGCTACCAAACTCTTATCCGGAACTCCTACTACATTTGTAAAAGGATCTGCCTAGCTGGTTGAAATTTTGACGTCCATATTATGCTACACTATATACACCCAGTTTCGGTGTAAATTGTCAAGAGCGCCTAGATCCTTAGATACTAGTATCTGACATTTGAAAATTTTGATTTTTGTTCGTTGTAAATGTTTTTTTTTTTTTAAAGTCTGTAGTGATAAGTATTATGAAATATTTATTATGGTGTATCCTTATTTATTTGGAGTTTTGGACGAAGGGCTGTGACGAGTGCAAAACACTCAGAATACACCAATCCATCATAAATAAAAATTTCAATAACTTTCCGGTATCATCGCCAATCAAACCTCATGTCACTTATTTTCATGCATGACTTTTAATTGTACAATGATGTAGTTTTTGTCAAGTGACCGCACAATCTCTTCTTCCTACCAGTATTTTACGTTTGTGCGTTCATAAGAAAGACAGAACAAAAATTCGAAGTTGAAGAAGGAAAATTCAGGTGTTGTTCGAAAATCAAGAAAAAAAGATACCCGTTATTCGAGAGCTGTCGCATCACGACAACTCTGTATCAGGGCGAATAACTCTAAATCGGTAGATGAAGTACAGCTGCACTTTATTCTAGTTGAGCAAATAACATAGCAAGCATTGGCGGATCCAGAGGGAGGGGTTATGGGGGTTGGAACCCACCCTTTATTTTTTGCTTAGTGGAGAGAGAGAGAGAGAGAGAGAGAGAATAAAAAGTTTTCTGAGAATAAATATTTGTACGTCTTTCTTACTTATTGAATAGATAGATTCTTACACATTTAGTTTCCTCCATTCACCTTCACTACTATTTTTTATATGAGAGAATGGTAGAATATATTCCGCTTTTTTTTTTTAAAATATATATCTTATTTATGATATGATATTGTAACATGCGTGGTTTAATTTTATATTGGATTCCCTTGATCTTTGGCTGTGTCGGCTATATACGTAACGGTTTTTATAAAATCATATCTAAATCTATCTAAGGAACTAACATGTAACTCTTTGTTTTAAAGCACACGCGCACCCCACTACCCCTCCCCCCACCCCGATTTCTTTTTTCAAATTCTTTAAGAAATTTCTTTATAGATGATACAAATCCACTCAACTTTAAGGCTTCTTTTTGAAAGGTGCGGTTTTTTTTTTTTTTTTTAATTTTGGTTCGGACTGGGTAAAGTTTTTTTTTTAAATAATGACATTAAACAAAGATAGTATTTACCACAACCTTAGACCTTTCCATACAAGTCTGTGAATTTTTGCTTGAGAGTACCGGGGTATGTGTGTGTGTGTGGGGGGGGGGGGGGGGGTTAGAGGGATACAACCCTGGAACCTCCCCTTTCTAAAATTGCTGGATCCGCCCCTGGCAAGTATGGTATATTCTGCTAAAACGCTATATTACAATAGGTGTGATGTTTAAATATTTTTCTGTGTGGAATTCATGTCAAAAACTTGAATTTTTGCAGCGATGAATGAAATATTTGCAGAGTTCCTTAAAGCATTTCGTAGTTTGTAATACGCAAGTTGTTTATGTATATAAAGACTTTTATTTCACTTCCAAAAATTTTGCCTTTGTATATAACAAAGCCTATTTCATTCTGTAATTCAGATTCAGAATACATGTAATTTAAAATTATGAAATTGCCTTGGTGTTCAATAATCTATTTACACGGCAATTTTTTTCCAGGCTAAGCGGACAGCCTATCGATACATATTTCCAGTTATTGTACACTTTACTTCAAATGAAAACACCGCAGCCATGATACATAATGTCAGTGTCTTTTTTTTTTTAGAATTAATAAAGAAAAATGTTTCAAATTCAAGGTGTTGTGATAAAATATGCATGTAAGACCTTGTAACCCCTCCCCCCTCCCCAATTCTCAATAAACGCCGATCCCTCATTTTGGTTAGAAAATTCTTTTGTCAATTAGTCAATAACGACTATAGGACTATCAACATTAACTACTATTGTTATACCTTTAGAAATTTTTCCTATACAAATCTATTCGAAAAAAATTCTTAACATTTCTAATGGTTTGCTGAGCGCATAAAAAATTGATGTTGGACCGCTGAGTGAGATGTTGGACCGGTCGATGAGGTGTTGAACCGCTTATGTCACAGAATGGGCAATGCTTAATCTCATTTTCATTCCTTGGTTATTGTATAGTAAAGAATTTTGTATCTAGAAAGTATGGATAATCTTCAATTTTGTAAATATCGGTCATTGACCGGTTGCACGATTTTCATACCATTACCGGAAGTCAAGTTTGAGTCTGCTTTGCCTTAACAGAAAATAAAAAAAAAAATGCATGTTTAACAAAACATTTGACAATATAATGGAGTTTCGTTTGTTGCAGATACGAAAAAAACTGAATAAGATACTTAAATTGTTAGGGGAAAAAAAAGACTGAGCATCATATGACAACTTTCGTTAGCCCTATAGCATTCCTAGTGAAATGATAAACACATGATCATCATTCTATATTTTATGACATACATTAATAGAACAGTTTTTAAGTGCCATGCTCATACTTACGTGTATTAATATTGCAACAGGTGTATATTGGAGTAAAATTCCTGAGGATTTTTCTCTAGTACATGTCTTTGAACATTTAAACAAAATTGTAGTCAAAAGATGTAAATAGTTATACCGAGTTTAATACTGTATCATTCGAACCATCGGACGTATCCCTCCCTATTCTTCCTCCAAAACTAGTGAAAGACCACAAAATATTGATGGATAGATATTGGTACTGATTGCTAAACTATAGAAAATAAATGCTAAGATTGTCCAATTAATTTATATTGGTGGTCAAACAGTGGAGAAATAAAATATGTTTAAGTTGATAACACGTGCTATTCAAGGAATCACTAGTTAGTGCTGGTACTCCAGGGAGATGCAGCAAAGAAATCCGAGGCGTCAAATATATGGAAACATGGAAGCCAGAGGATCCGCCAGGCGACTTCAGCATGTTCATGGGCAGTAGTCGATCTTCATGTGTGTAACTGACTTCAAAAGGCTTCGACGGACGATTAAATATTTCTAAAAACAGAATCCTCTATAATCAATTGATTAACACAAAATGGATTCTCTGAAAAGCATACTTACTACCATACTAGTAAAATGCCTAAAATTCGGACAGGTTGACGGACGGACAGACAGACAAAATGATTGTTAAGATGCGTATACTAG